GGCCCCTGCCAATCCCTGAGGCTCCAGCTCTTTGTCTGGGGTCCTGGCCAGTTCTCCCCCAGCCCCTTCTCCTGGGCCCTACCCAGTATCCCCCTGCTAGCTTCCTGCTCACCCCTCCCCTCTGCCCGCCTCGCAGAAGCACTGTGCCCCCGTGCTGGCCAAGATCCGCCCACCGCCTGACAACCAGGACTGCTACAAGGCCGACTATGGCTACCTGGGTGCCCTGCTCTGCACCCACGTGGTGAAAGCCCGGGCGCAGGCTGCCCTGCAGGCCCAGCAGGTGAACCGCACCACCCTCACCATTACGCAGGTACGAGGGGCCGGCTGGGGGGCAGGTACCGGCTCTGCAGGAGGTGAGAGCCTGTGGGGCAGAGGGAGGGAGCAAGGAGAGAGTTGGGGGAGGAACAGAGGCCAGTGGGGTGGGAGCTAGGGGGGTGGGCTGGTGAGAGACCATCGGGAGGGGCTGTGTGTCCGTGGGCACTGGCAGACTGGGAGGCTGAGAGCGTTTTGAGGGGCTAGCAAGAGTATGGGAGGCGTGTGTCTGACAGTGTCTGTCTGTCTGTCTCCACCTGGCAGCCCCGCCCGACGCTGACCCTGTCCCAGGCCCCGCAGGGCCCGCCGCGCGCCCCTAGCATCATCAAGGTGCCCAGCTCCATCACGCTGCCTGTGCAAACCCTGGTGTCCGGCCGCCCTTCCACCCCTACCCAGCCATCCCCACCCCCCACCAAGTACATCGTCATGTCTTCTGCCTCTGGCAACAGCACCTCCCAGCAGGTAATGGTGCAGGGGTCATGGGGGGCTGCTTTGGCACAGTCCAGCCATGGTTCTACCCCACCGGTGCCTCAGTTTCCCTTGCTGCGGTGTGTTCTGGCCTTCACAGCCCCACTCTGCAGCCTGGGAGAGACGTGTGACGCCCCTGCTAGGCTCTGCCACTGGGGCGGGCACGCTCCTGCCCTCAGCCAGGACCTCAGGCAGGGTTGCAGGCCACCCAGCCTGCAATGCTGCTCAGACCCCTGAATCCTGCCCTCCAACCCCCCCCGCCCCCCATTTGGAGCAGCCTGCACTCCATCCCGTTGGGACCAGCTGCCCTGCAAGGGTCCTGAGAGGGTGGGGGAAGGCCAGGGCTCCTTCTGTGCTGCCCTGGAGTTTCCAGGGGGCAGGCTAGCATGGGGAGGTGTGGGGAAGGGGGGCCAGCCCCATGCTTCCCAGGGAGGATTGCGGGGGCAGGTGGGGATGTGGGGGCAAGGTCCAGGGGGCAGGCTGGCATGGGAGTGCGGGAACGGGGTGGAGGGCATTGGACGTGGGCTCCCCTGTGCCGTGTGTGGGGCACGCTGACCCTCCGGGCCTCTCATTGCAGGTGATCACTTTCAGCACCAGCGCTGTGGGCACAGCCACATCCCCCGTCAGCACCACGGCGCCTGGCGTGCAGCCTGTGGTCAAGCTGGTCTCCACGGCCCAGACGGCGCCCAGCGCTACCGTCACGGGCAGCGTGCAGAAGTACATCGTGGTCTCACTGCCCGCCCCAGGCGAGGGGGGGAAAGCGGGGGGTCCCCCTGCCCAGCTCTCTCCCTCTGCACCTTCAGGGCTGCCACTTCCTGGCCTGGCCCCCCCCGCTAGCACCACTGTCAAGCTGGAGCCCAGTGACAGCCCTCAGCAGCCCCCCGGCACCCCCATCCCATTCGGCAAGGCCAACGGAGCACAGGGTGGCGTGGCCGGGTCACCCCAGCCTTCCCAGTGACCCTGTCCCCTGCCATGGCTCTGCCCCCTTGGGCAGCGTTTGAGGCAGACTGAGCGCTCCCCCACCTCCAGTGACATCCCTGCCCGCGGGGTGGCCCAGGACGAAGGTCGGTAACGGGAGGAGGGAGAGGATCTGACCCTTCCCCCTGCAGCACGTGGGGCACCTAGTGCTTGGCCTGGGTTGGTGCAGGAACAGCATTGGCCACAGGGAGGTGCCAGAGGCTAGTGGACCAGGCACCCTGGGGTACCCCACCTGTCTGGTGTTGGGGGGTGCAAAGGGGGCTGCCCCCAGGAACAGCTGTAAATATCGCGCTGTAAACTGCTACATCCCAATAAAGGGCCTGCCCTTGCTCTGCGGGCGCGGTGCTGGTCCGGCTCCTCCCAGCTCGGCCGGGCCCTTGCTCTGGAGTCTGCCTCTGCCTGCTGGAGACTCAGGAGTCCTGGTGCCTGTCCCCCAGCTTCCACAGCCCTTTCTCTGCCCAAAGCCCCTCACACAGGGATGGGGGCCTCCAATCTCTGAGCTCACTGGGCCCCTCCAGCCCTCCCCTGCCCCCCATCTGCACCTGGGGGGCTGCCGTGGGGGAGGTCTGGGCTGGGTGGAATGAGTGGGTGTTCTCCTCTCCTCAGTGAGTCACCCCCAACCACGCTGTGCACAATTTTATTGCCCCTGGGGGGTGCTAGCGTAGGACCCCCGAACCCTCCCAGTTCCAGCAGGCGAAGGATGGGCTGGGGATGTGCACTGAGCCCTCCTCCTCTGCGAAGTCCCCCTGCCAACCTCCAGAGGCAGCCCCGCCCGGGCTGGGGGGAGCCCAGGGAGTGCAGCCTGGGGGCTCAGGCAGGGGCCACACATAGATGCGAGCGGAGTGGGCTGGGCGTGGGGCCAGCTGGCCCCCCAGGCTGCGGGGCAGGGCTGGGCGGGCTGTGG